CAGAAAGACATGGCAGGGTTGGGGAGGTGAGGAGCAAGGTTGTCCACACAGTGATGGACCTTAAGGAGATTGCTTTTCCTACCTGTCCACGTCTCCTAAGGAGACACTCTGCATCTATATCAATTGGATAATTCTTCTATTACTTCTTCAAAGTGCTCTTTACATACCTTCCTGTTTAACTACACTCTTGAAACTTATCTAATTAAGTGTACAAGTCTTGAAGACTAGATGTAAATGATGGAAGAGACATGACTCTATCAGTCTTCTCTGATAACTGCCAGTCCCAGCCAAATACCTTAGATAGATACACAAGGGGCCTCTAGAGGTTTGCACTGGGTGCTTGCGGTCAGACCATGGAGCTCTGCCTGGAAACCTGAGAACTGCTCTCGGTACTTAAAAAACAAACAAACAAACAAACTACTTTTTCATCAGCTGAAATGATCCAATACTTTCAATAAAATGTCCGTGGAATTTCTACCCTGCCAAAATATGACTTTTCAGAATGTGTATTAACTGTGGGAGAAGAAGTGTTGACCTTCCCCTGTGCTTGCCTTGCCATTACTCTGTCTATCATGCTGTGTATTTAATCTCCCTAACTTTCCAGGTGTTTCTACCTGTTCTTATTAAACTCACCATGTCTGCAGTCATCTCTTCAGAGGCCTGTCTAGACATATGCACTTTCCATTGTTCTGGAGGTTCTCCAGAAGACCTCTCCAGAAGTCTTCCTCCTCTTACTCTTTGGTCATTCAGATCCCTCTCACCTATCACCCTACTTTGAGCTTCAGGGAGGTAAAGCTTGATTGTCTTTCAGTAGTCTCTCTCATACTCCCTCTAGGCAGCTGTTCAATTGTGGCAATGGCCCTCATTGGAAGTTGCTTAAACTAACCACACAGCTGAGAAGTGTATTTAATTGTTGATTAAGTTCTATTGTGTTTTACTTTTTCTTCTTTTTTTCTTTCGCCCAATTAAAAAAAAACACCCTCTGTGCCTGTTTACATCCAGTTCTCTAAGGAAAGCAGGTAGGAATTGCTGCAAAGAAGCTGTAACAACCAGGTGCAGCCTTCAGTGGAGAAGTCTGATGTAAAGAAAAATTATGTAATTCCCAGGGGGCCAATGACAGCAGTAATGAGATTGGAGAGGTGAGGAACAAGGTTGTTCATACCGTGTCTAGCCTCAAGCGACTGCTTTTCCTACCTGTCCACACCTCCTTAGGAGACATTCTGCATCAATATCAACTGGAGAATTCTTGTACTGCTTCTTCAGAGTGCTCATTGAAAACCTCTTCTTCACCTACTCTCTTGAAACCTCTTTAAGTAGCTATACAAGTCTTCAATGCTTGAAGAAATGGTGGAAGAGTCATGGCTTGTTAGGGCTTTTGGCATTTTAATGAGCCCATGGTGTATGTGGGGCTGAGTCCATGAACACAGGTACTGAGAAGAGGCTGAACAAACCTCTCAAGCAGGCAAAGGCAAAAGCAAAAACCTCAAGTTCCTTGAAGCATAAATGGGCCCCACTGAGGTCCATTACTGACAAAGCCTCCCCATGGACTCGTTAGAGTAGATAATTGGAGGCTGTGATTGCAGGTAGGCAAAGGCCCTGTGTAGGCAAAGGCCCTGTGCAGGCAGCTGTAATGCTGAGAAAACCCTTTGGTTTGTTTTATGAAGCAGAAAGACCAAGCCCATAGGAAGGAGGGTCCTGTCCCTCACGCATGGCTCAGAGCTCTTCCTGGGACATGGGGTGTGCAAGGCCAAGTAAAGGACAGCAATGGCACAGCAACTTCCAGCTTCCCCATGGGATTGCAAGGAGGCAATGAGGCCGCAGTGCCATGAGGACAACATGCCTTCTCATAGGCCTCAGTGGCAGAGACAACTGCTGTAGCCAAGGGGACAAAGACTTAGGTTCTTTTGGTGCCTTTCCAGCCTTGCCAGTTCCCTTTGCCATCTCCACCACGGACTGTCGTACACTGTCCTACAGCTGCCTCTGTTTCCCTGCAGGCTGAGGGACCCATCTTGCTTCCCTGCCTCGCTCTCACCCCAGCATTTCCATACCTTCACTGATGTGTCTCCACCCTCACTGGCTGTTCCTTGAAACACAAACCCATGAGACTCCCTCTGTGTGACCTCTTGCACCATGGCACTACCCTTTGAGTGACATTTCTTCTTCCTGATATCCACTCTCCACCTTCCAAGTTGCACTTTGCGACATTTTTTTCTCTCTCCTGCTTTCTCCCACTAACAAGGAAAGCTCGACCATCTCAGAAGCTACCCTTCAAGCAGGGAACCCAACCCATTAGCCTTCTTGTGGTCTTTCGCCTGGCCAGAGAGAAGTAACCTTGCATAATCTTCTAAACCACAGGACTGCTGCTGGCCTTTCAGCTTCTCGGATAGATACGACCATGTACCTGCTGCTGTCCCATCATGTACTCAGGTGAAATGGACATGACAACCCCTATCCAAGCCCTCTTTCTGGATAGGGCCTATTGGGTACTTTGGCAGAGGTACTTTCCCAGCCACGTTCCTGCTGCTGGCTTATCAACTCCAGAGACGGAACTGACCTCACAGTCCCCTTCACAGCCATATACTTCCTACTGGATTATCATTTTCTGAGACACAATCAACCTCATAATACCGTACCCATCCATCACCCTTCTTATGGCCCAGGACCAGACTGGATAAAAGCATGTTTGTTTTATCAAATTTATCAAATATATTTCCTACCAATGATTTGAGTGGAAAAACATTCTTCACAGGAACTGATGTATGTCTTTTGGCAGATTTTATATCTCCTCTTCTGTCTCCTTTTTTTTAACTTTTTCCTCAGCCTATTCTGTCTTCAAAAACCTCTTCAAGGGAAAGATTCATTGAATCACAGAATAACTCAGGTTGGAAGAGAGCCCTGAACATCATCTTGTCTCACTTTCCTGCTCAAGGCAGGTTGAACTAGATGAGGTTGTTCGAGGTCTCCACCCAGCTTTGCTTCATCCACAAAGGAGCTGAAAGTGCACTCCATCACATCATACAGGAGGATAATAAAGACATTCAACAGTGTTGGCCCAAGTGCTGGTCACTGAGGGATGCCGCTAGTAACTGGCTGCACGGAGGACTTTGTACCACTGATGACATTTGGGTTTGATCATCCAGCCAACTTCCCACCTGCCATAATGTCTACTTCTTCAGCCCCGATAGCACCAATCTGGCTAAAAGGACACGATGGTAGACCATGTCAAAGGCCTTGCAAAACTCCATGTACACAACATGCCCTTCTTTCTCCTGCCCATTTTGGTTCAGCAATCCCTTCCTTGTCCTTCAAGTGCCTGGAGATTGTCACCTGGAGAGATCACCTTCCCAGGGATGGAGATAGGCTGACCAGTCTGTCATTCTCCCAATTCTCGTTCCTGCCCTTCCTGAAGATGAGTTTGACATCTGCCTTTTCCATGGACCCCAGGACCTCCCTGATTGCTCTGGCACTTTTGAGGGCACAATCCAGAATCACAGGCAAGGGTGACGTAGCAAACAGGAGCACTTGCAGTGAACCCATCCAAGACAGCTGAGATGAATCTCACTCGGCCAGTGGGGTTTGTTTCTGGAGTCACACACAGAAATGTCAAGGTTCTGTCAGGGGTGCACATCTGAGCTGGTCTTGTGCACTCCTTATGCACACAGGGGTGTTCAGAGACAGTCTTTCCCTTTTCTTTCCCTTTTACACACAGAGGCAGTGCACTTGCAGGAGTCACAGTGTCTCCCTGGCCTCCACTTGCCACTCCCAGAAGCTGGCAGGCACCTCAGCCCTGTGGTGTGTTGCCCTACTCTGCACTCGTCTGGGATGCCCCAAGGCAAGAAAAATGGACAAAGGGACCTCAGTTCAAGGAAGCACATCCCCGTGCTGTATTCAAGTAGTTTCCCAGGAGATGTTATTCCCAACGTGAAGTGACCTCAAGATGCTGTCTGCCTCACAGGCCTGCAGGGTAACCTTAAGAATACTGATGGCGTTTGTGCTCACCCAGGTTCGTCTCACGTCACGCACATGATGTGCGTGCTTATATCTCACCCACACACGGCAAACATGGACTTTTGACCAAGTAATTTGGTGTTTCTCTGTGGAGGGTCAAAGAACCTCTCCCAGCTGCAGTGGTAAGTCAGTGCTGGAAATGGTGGTTGTGAGGGGCTAGTCCATGGTGATTGCCCTGGGGCAGCTTCCCCAGGGTGTCCAGTGAACACAGGCACAGAGCAGACCCTGCTCTGCTGGTCCTTCAGGTCTCTCCCAGGAGGCCTAGCTGTGCAAGGACACTGCTGCATGCCCCAACCCTGCACACTCACACTGTTTAGCTGTACACTGGTGTTTTCATCTGCAGGCCACTTTCTTGAGTATATGTTCTTGAGAGTAATTTTGGAAGAAGACCTAAGACCTCAGGCACTGCCTTGAGGAGATCACCTTTCTTTATGGAAACAGTGTTAAGGAGGCCAGCTCTGTCACAGAAGTACCCATTACCTGTCCCTGCCTGTAATCACAGGACTGCCACAATGAAGGACTGTGATTAAGGTGTCAGAGCACTCAGACCTTACACCAACACAAGGGCTCAGAAGGACAGTGTGGAAATGGAAAGAGAGCAGCTCTGGAAGACCAAGCGCTGGTGCTCCCTGGCAGTGCTGCCATGCCAGGACTCTTTTCCCCTCCACCTCTGCACACAGGAACTGTCCTGCAGCTCCAGAAAGGCTTTGGAGGAAGGGTCTCAGAAAAAGAAAGTTACTGCAGGGCCCTTTATTTTTGTCTAAACACACAGAGAGCATGGCTCCTCATTTACACAGCCACTTGGTCAGAAAAGAAAAGCAGACAGGAATTAGAAAGGGGGTGACAACATTATCATAAGTAAAACACCACCACCACCAACAAAAACCACAGACGACAGGCTCGGCCTGCAGTGAATTACATTGTAACTCTGATGCAGAAGAAGATAGGCAGTTTATTGCTTTGGAAAAACATCCAGTCGTCAGTTTCCACACTGCATCCTTGAGCTCCTCCTTCCTCATGCTGTAAATGAGGGGGTTCACTGCTGGAGGCACAACCGAGTACAGAAATGACACCACCAGATCCAGGGATGGGGAGGAGATGGAGGGGGGCTTCAGGTAGGCAACCATGACAGTGCTGATAAACAGGGAGACCACAGTCAGGTGAGGGAGGCACGTGGAAAAGGCTTTGTGCCGTCCCTGCTCAGAGGGGATCCTCAGGACGGCCCTGAAGATCTGCACAATGAAAACAAAATATCCAAATCCTAAACAAGCACTAACCACAACAACACCAACTTCCCTGAGGTAGGATTGTGAGCAAGAGAGCTTGAGGATCTGGGGAACTTCACAGAAGAACTGGTCCATAGCATTGCCTTGGCAGAGGGGGATTGAAAATGTATTAGCAGTGTGCAGGAGAACATTGAGAAACCCACTGCCCCAGGCAGCTGCTGCCATGTGGACACAAGCTCTGCTGCCCAGGAGGATCCCATAGTGCAGGGGTTTGCAGATGGCAACATAGCAGTCATAGGCCATTACAGTGAGAAGAAAATTCTCTGGGCACAGGGACATATCCAAGGAGGAAAACACAATAACGAGATAGGGAACACTTCTCTGAGGAAAACCCCATTCAATTTCTCATAGAAATTCCCCTCCCTGAGCTGAATGAGGGACGTTTTAGCTCGTTTTTCAACACTGCTAACTGAATGACATGGTGCCTCATAGCTTGGGCACCAAGTTCCCATAAAGACACCTCCAGGGCAGGATCCCCAGAGTCGGTGTCAGAACAGAAGCTGATCCACACCCCAGCCCCAACCCCAGAGAACAAAAGCAGCACAGACAGGTGGGGAAACAAAGAAGAATACTGCAATGCTCCAGAAAAATGAAGCAAGAAGAGAAAGGCAGATGGGCATGCTGTGAAGCCTTCTCCTTACCCAGCTATGCTCTCCACCTCACAGACAGCAACACTGTAGGGCAGTCACTTTTGGCTTGTTTGTTATGTGTTAATTGTAGGACACATGAACTTCTCCTAGACTGGAGGTCCAGCTGCCAACGATGTGACTCATGCCCTGGATCCCATGGCCTTGGGGGAAGAGGCTTTGCTGGACGGGAGAGGAGACCAGGGAGTTTGCTCCAGGGAAGGCATCTGCACTGCAGGGGATGGCAGGGAGGTGCCTGAATCCCCCCTCCCATGGCGTTTCTGGTAGCAGGTCCCCCTCACTCTCTGCCCATGTCTCTGCCTCTGTTGTCAGGAACTGTCCCTGCTGGGAGCTGTTTCTCTTTTCCCATGTCTCTTCCATGCTCACAAACCCCACCTCACCCACTGTGTGCTCTGCTTTGCCCTGCAGACCCCTCCTGGCAGCAGGGCACTGCCCAGGGGCATCTCTGTGTGTGCAGGGGCTAAAAGAAGCAGCTCAGACAAATGTTAATGAGATTTGGGGTCTCAGTGCCTTCTCCACAAAGGAGAAAGAAATTCCCGTCTCCCACTGCCAACCCAGCCAACCATGAGGAGAAAACTCAAAGCACAGGCTCCTTCCCTTTCAGGTAAATGCTGCCTCAATATTCTTCTTCAAAAGTCCCCCTGGAAATGTTGTGGTGGTTATCTGGAGCTGTGAGCATCCCTGACTCATGCAGTACCCTCTCGACCCCCCCTGCTGGGGGTAGCTCCTTCCATCCACAGCTTCTCCCTGCAACACCATGCCGAGCTCCCCGCAGGCATGGGGCATGGCACAAGGAAA